TACTATACAGATATATTATATAGTGCGTTGTATTCGTCGAACGCCCTTGGCTCCTGTTGTCGATCGGTATAGTAGCGGGGTCGTAGTAGCAGTGCACGGGCTGAACGGTCGTCGCCGTTGGATTCCTGCGACGGCGTCATCACGTTCCGGATCATCGGCCTCGAGGACGAACGAGGTCGTCTCGGGTTAAAATAAAAGTTTGCGCGGTGGCTACAGCGGAGCAGTGCTCATCGCCGCGGTCGTGCGACTAGCAAGTAAAACGGTACACGGACATTACATTATAAATGATATGAGGCACAAGTAATAATATAGGTCCTACACGGCTACACGCATATACATTATACTATATTATAATATATTATATACAGAGCGATTATTTTAACTGGCTGGAGAAGTTGCACCCGCTAGTCGTTTCAAAAAGCAAAACGTCGACTTTTAAATCGACGATTTTCTTTTCGATAAATAATCCAGCTCCTACCGTATTTTTTTTCGTATCTTCGCACTTTCGAAGTATGTCCTAAACATTTTGATATATTTAAATTCGAGGAAATTTTTTTTTTTAACGTGGAGTCCATTTTATTTATTACAAAAGCGTTTAAACTTTAAAGTTCCAATCTGCGTATAGTAAGATATAGAAGTATATAGAAGATTTAGGAATAACAAAAAGGAAACTGCATACCGATCAATCGCGTATCCAGTATAAAAATATAAAATAATTGTGTATTGACTATAGGCACTATAACGTAATTCACATTTTTTTTTTTTTATTTATCGACGAATTAACGAGAAATATGTATTCCCACAACAGTAATTAAGTTGACCTCATCGTCCATATTTTATCCACCACTATATATGTATAAGTGCCTATACTTCTTACTGCCATTAAAATTATTTTATTTAAATTTTGAATGCTTGAAATAAAAATTATTCGTTTAATATTTGATATTTATACATCAATATACTATTTTAAAGTATCCTACTAGCAACTAGATATATATTATGAAATCACAAGTTCACGCAAATATTACATATCCAACGACAAACGTACACGAAACTTGCGTGTCACAAATTGTCGATACTTTTTGAAATGACCAGCACATATTTTTACAATATACCTTCAATTATATGTATATATAATATATAGTAGATATATTATATGTAGAATGTAAATGATTTATATCTACCGGATAGTGTATTTATTTTCTGTATATAATATAACGCTTACACGCTTTAGGTTATTACTTAACGAGTAAGAATTTAATTGTTCGTAAATTTCGTCATTATCATCCTCCACACACACATAACATTTTAGTGCGTGTGCTATATGTTGGTACGTATATGTATTGTAGTATAAGATCGCATATATTATTATATAGGCGTTATTTGGATGAAAAGAAAGCGATCAATCACGTGGCTCATTTACCTGGTCCGTTTTTGATATTTTTATTTGCGATGCTTAAATAGAAATACGTACATACGTTAGATACGTATTATGTATTATTATATTATAATAATATGGACCAGCTATGTAATATATTTACCCGTGCCGGTGCCGCAGCCGCTGCACGCGTAATGACATTTCTTTCTGTATTGCTTTTTTTTTTTATTTTTTTTTTTCGTTTTACTTTTCAATTAACCGACCATAAAGAGAATAGAAACCGATCGCGGGTGAAAATCGCAAGTCACGCGTTATCAAGAGCTCTCTGGGTCTCTTTGTTCGATCATATGTGTCTATATGCGCAGCTCATTACATTCTCTCGGCTCGTTACACTATTTTTTCCTCGTCGGTGCAACAGTGATCACTCCCGTGAGGAACTCGCCGCAATCAATCATTTCCCGAAATCATGTATTATACCTAGTATACCACCTACACAAACATATTCTAATACGAAAATTGTAGCCTAATACGTAATTAAGGACATTGGTTTCGGTTAGTATATGGTTAAATCGTCTTTTGTTGTATAGAAATAACATACGAATAAATCACGCAATGAGAGTGGAGTCGATGAAATGACCATTCAAAATTATATATACTTCTACATATGATGATATGTTTACGTTACTTGGTTCGTTTTCGTATTAAAATATAAGAACTCGTAATGCGTATATCTAAATTCTATAGACGGCAACGTGAATTATAACTATTTCGTCAGTATTGAAAAAAATTGTTTAATTTTCCTAATAAAGTTTAATTTAATAATTGCATAAGGTATATTGTAATTGTATTTATTCGATAGAAAAAAACTCGAGAAGAAAAATTTAAAACAAAATTCAATGTTTTGAATTAAATATTAAATTTAAATATCTAAACACATATATCTTAAATAGTATAAAGTTATTCAGTTTTTTTTATTAAAAGTCTTAATAGATAAATAGATTCATTTTTTTTTTCTGTTGATAAGGTATTGGAACCATAATTTTACTTAACTTTTGAAAAAATATGTCTAGAAGTTGTGTTTCACAAAACTCGAGCATTTTTTCTTTTGGTTTAGTTATTTCCTTAGGGATTTTTTACCTGGTATTTGTATTATAGATTTTATTGAAATTTTCGCTTAATTTTATTTAAATACTTATTTATATTTAACGCTTAAGATTCGAAATAATGTTAATTGATCAATCCGTTCAACCATAACCGTTAACTTTCTGCTACACTAAACGTCTTGATAACGAATTTATATAGTTATTCATATTAAGATTAACTCAAAGACATTACACTTTGTTCATTCATACAATATGTTACATGTTAATATATTATTACCTATAGCTAATTAAAATAACAATAATAGGATAGTATTTTTATAAAAAATTATGTTTGAAATTTTAAATCCATTAAATACATTTTTCCATTAATAGACGTCTTTTTACGTATGGTGACTTCAATGATCGTTTCGTTTTATTTTAATATTATAGTTTATAGGTTTTTTGTACGAATATTTAAATTGATTATTCTTATATATATATAAGAAGAAGATAACTTGGAAAAATTAAAAAAAAAACGAATTTTTATTAAAAAAAAAAAAGAATACGGACACGTCTTATTTAGAATGATGACATATAAGTGTGAATATCAAATTTAAGTAAAGTATAAGGTACCTGTTGATTTTATTAAATTCTGGGTATGTTTTAGCTGTAATGCCTATAGTGCTGTTCAATAACGATGTATAATACTCTTTAAATTTTTATTTTCATTTAACTGTATTATCAATTATAAGCATGCTTAGATTTAACAGAGATTTTTTTTTTTTTTTTGGGAAGTTTCATTTACACAGCAGTATAATACAATAACAATAAATTGGTTTAAGCTAGTTAAGTACTTAAATCCATTAATGACATTGCACATTAAAAGTCATATAATTATGTTGAATTGTTTTAAATAAGCACCTACTATTATACCTATTAATAAAATGTATTTTATCTGAAAACAACAAAATTTTTATTATTATAGTTATTCTCACGGACGTCCATAATAACTTAATCTGAAACAATATTAAAAGTATTACTATGGTAAAATTTATTTTTAACGTCATTATAATCAAGTGCAAAATATTTTTTCTAATTACATTTATTTCGAGGTCAAAATTATCCACGCTTTAAGGGTCATAATTACTAATTAGTAGGTAAATTATTCAATTGGATTTTCGCACATGAAAAACATTAATGTTTGGTACGATATTTATCATCATAAAAACAAGGTTTTATTTAAAGAAAGAAACTGTATCGTAAATTCGTAGCTATATTTACAAATTAAGCACATTTTTAAACATGTCACTCTAATAAGATGTAATAAGTAATAACTAATAATATAATTACCTAATATTATTTAAATTGCAATAAAATATAAAGTTTTGTTAGTACTCGAGGAATTTCTTTATAATTATTGGACAAGTTGTGTGTGCATATCAAATTAATATGCAGGATGTTTTACTTGTCCTCGTATTTCTATTAACTCCTACTCCTACATCCGCTTCCTATAAAAATTTACGTAACGATTTAAATGATTAATGTAAATAAGTGATTCTGCAATATTTAAAATATTTACATATATTATAGTTCTTAATAAATATTGTTTATAGCTGATAACATTTAAAAACAATTATTATCTCGAGTTTTTATAAGCTCAAAAATAAGTACTTACTAAAAATATAAAATATCTTAACGATAGTATAATTCTCTAATTAATTAGGCGATAATTTTCAAACATTATATTATATAAAAAAAAAACTATAGACAAAAGACAAATGAATTTATGGAGACGGTTATGATATGGTGTCAGTGTGTACATATTTTTAAATTCTTTGTACATTCATTTCATTTCGAGTTTGACTATAATGCTGTTTTTTTATATTAATATTGTATTTAACTTTTAATCTTGAACGAATTATTTTAATAGTTCATTAAACATAGTAGGTAAGTTTCTATATTTATTTATCGAACCATTTTAAATATATTTAACTTAAACGAGTGTTTATAATTCATCTTTTTTAACAATATATCTAAAACACATAATTATCGTGTGTATTATGATTTTATAAAAACGCGCTAAATTAAATAGATCAATAGAGTCGCGCGTCATGCGTATATACTTACACAATATAATATAATATATCCCCATCAGTGTATAATCGAACAGTCGAAAAATCCCGCTAACGTGCTATAAAAAGTAAAAAAAAAAAAGGAACACTTTCTTGTCCTCTCACTTTCTGGCCCTACTACTGTGATCCTCCCACTGGCTCTACATGTCTTGTCTAATCGGTATGTCTGTTGTGTCGGTTGCGGTGAACACGGCAGAGAACAAGTTGAGGGCGTCGCGCCAGTGATCACGCCGAGTCGCACGCGCTCAGATCGTCGGTCCCGTGTGGATGTTTCTAAGTAATAGTTACGTGATTTTTGAAATGAAAAATAGTTGAATAGATAACACATATTTATGATATATATAATACAATAAATATCAATATTTAATAGTGTTCATTTTTTCGTTAAATATTTTTTTTTATTGAAATTTATCGATTTGTTTGATTATTATTATTTTCGATTACAAAATCATGAAGGAAATATTGTTTAAATTTAACGTCAGTGATTCGGTCTGTACTTGACGGATTTCCTGACAACTGGATTTCCATTTTGGACCAAAGTGGTCAAATGACGTTAACTTCGTGAAAGGTTGGTAAAGTTTGCATATGTTAAATATTTTTTGAATTATCACAATATTTATAGGTTTTATTTAAAGTCATTTTATACAAATAAAATATACTATCGATTTAATTGTTTTTATGATTTTTAGAGTTTCCCAATTTTCCCATTTTTTTAAAAATTTTTTTTAATAGGTAGTATTCTATGAATTTAAGTTTTGTGTATTTTTACTTAAGTACGTATTTAAATAAATAATGACCTTATTACGATTTATTAATGAATAAAAATACTGAAATCATCAAATTGGCTTTTAAATTAAATTAATGGTGAATAAATTAATGAATAGTTATTCAAGAAATGAATTACCTAATCATCTTAATCATTTAATATCTAAAAGTTTCAGTTGCACACTTATTTTAATAAAAAATATTTATATTTGAAGGTTTAATAAAGAAAATCAAGCGTTCTTTATTAATACTATTAATGAATATTAAATAGTCATGTTCATTTTCAAACATACATTGTGTAAAAAAAATAATTTACTCATATTAAATTATTCGCGTGTTTCAGTTTTTACTTTTTAACGTTATCTTTAACTTAAAAATGAAACTTTTTGTTTTAAATTTAATCTTATTAAAAAAATAACATGCAAGTAAATTTTCAATTTCATCATTTTTAAATTATTACATCCTACACATATACATATGAGTAAACTAATTAAATATTTGCCCAAGTTTTGAGTGCCAAGTGTCAACTTTAATGCTAATATATAGCTATAGAGTAACATATTTATTATTATACTCGTGCAATAAACCCACTAACATTAATATTTGTTAAAAATAAAAGAAGTGCACCATTTTTAATAAAACCGTATATATAAATATATATGTATATTTAGTCTGAAGTAGAATTTCAAATAAAATTATATTTATCTAATTATTATTTATATATACTAGCTGCTAGATAAATTTATTTTATTCAGTAGGTATACTCGTATAGTTGTATAATATCAATAGTAGAAATATGATTTCTAATTTTAAATAATATTCTTCTTGTATTCTATATTTTTGAATTATAATTTATTGTATTCTTTAAAAATAATATTAGAATTAAACTAAACTCTCATTGAAGCATTATACCACTTATACTATACGAAATAATCTATATTTCTTTACAATTATATATATATATTTTTTTATCGAGGGATAACAGTATTATTGGAACAATAACCGGAAGTATAAACGATGTTTACACCCCGATGTTATATAAAATAGAGAGAAATCATAATAATTTAAATATTTGATATTTATGTATTTTCTAAAACGTAGTAATATTATAATTAAAAGTCATAAAGTTGTATACTAATAATGATGATCTATAATCTAAATCTAAAAATTACCGCGTGTTTGAATTATAATAGCCATGGGAATATTATATATATATATTACGTTGTATTTTAATTGGCGGGCTTTTACTTTTGTGAAAATTATTTTAAAAAACGCATTCTACGTATAACTATTGTGTATATTTTATACCTACCTGTCTTTTACATCTTCCATTCAAGATTTATCTTAATAATTACATGTATAAGTTTAAGTAAACCTAAGTACAGAGGTAAATGTTAATCAGATTATATCAATAAAATAGATAAGATCATTTGCTGCTAATCTTATTCGTAATTCATCGATAATATACTGCATTTTAATTAAAGTTTAGTCATCTGTACTAATAATATTTATTTAAATTTATCATGTAGACACAAATCTATATATTGTATACACTAGGAACAAATAACAATAATATTAAAATATTATAGTCGTATTTCAATTTTCATCTGCATAATACATTAATTAGAACCCCAATAGGTACATGCAGATTCAAATAGACAAAATACAATTGATATACTAAGAATTTCGAGTTATCGAATAATGATAATAATCATGATCATAATCACAATTTAAATATTGTGGTGTAGCTACACCGCATAATTGAAAGAGATTGAATTTTTTTTAAACCAGTGAGATCATAATATACTAAAGGTAATTGCTATATAATTCATATTTATGTAGGTATATTAAGTATTAGTTTTCATTTATTAACGTTTTGATAACATTAAAAATTTATTTTTAGAGATGTAATTAAGCAACTTCTATAATTTACATATAATTATAGTATTGTATACCAGTTTAAATAATATAATATCAAGTAGAACTAAAATAATGTAAGAATCGTATAGATATTTAATGTACCTAAAAGAATTTATTATAACACATCACCACACACTTTATAATTTAAAGTGGTCATTAAAATCATTAAAGTATTTGTAATATGTATAAAATATTGAGTTAAAAATATATATTTTATTCAGACAAATTATAATCATTTATTCACTCATAATAATTCGCTATACAAAGATTATATTTGAATATATTATAGTTTTATATTAATTTATAGTTGGCTTAAAGGATTCACGTTTGTTCTATACGTATGTAATAAAAACGAAAATAAAATAGTTGGATGTTGTTAATTTATATCTTACGTGTTCATCTGCAGCAGCACAGCGAATTATATGCTCGTACATTAATAATTCTTGTACATCATGGAAATTTCGTTCTATAGTATTTACGCGAAGATAATTAAAGTTCGTCCGTCTGATTGTACGAATACATAATACGTAAGATATAAATCGTAATAAAAATAAATAAATAAACAGTATCCATGATATATCGCACACAGTTTATCGATGTAAAAGAAAGTGAACCTTTTACACAGTTTTCTCATCATATTAAAATAATATAAATATCAACTTAAATCACGCGTTTAATTATACAAATACGTTTTATATATTATAAATAATAAATATAGAACTGTTACTGCTGTACACGCGTAAAATATGTATAATAATGTTATTTTTGTTTTCTTCTTACCGTTTATGGGCGAATTTAAGGAGAGTGTAAGTGGGGGTTCAAAGTCTCGTGTTGTCTTTAGCGGTTATTATTAGGGAGTCTAATCTTAAAAGAGCTTGTAACTACTTGTACTCAATATGATTATTGAATAGGTATCTATTTATTTGATTTTCAAGTATTCAATCATCTCGTCGGTACCCTCGTTGACGTTGAGACTCGACAGATTTGAATGACAATAATAATTTTTCGAAATTCTAACTACTTGCTTCCTTATTTAACAATCACAACATATAAAATACAATATATTTATTTTTTTAAATAATATAATCATTTATTGAAAAAATATATAAATGATACAAATATTCTGTAAAATATTTTGGTTTATCTTTCTTCTGTAAGCAAAGATTATTTTGAAGGTAGAGAGTTATTTTTTTTAGAATCTACAAACTAAATACACTTACAATAATACAAATAAAAACAGAATGGAAACTAATTTCTTAAATTTACAATTCAGATAGATAAAGATTTATTTATATTAATATTATTATTTACTCTAAGATGTTTCTTAAAATTATTAACATAGCTTATAGCTAAGTCAAGACAGATTTGCTGTAGAACGACGTTAATAGATTAGTGAAATAACCGCTCAGAATTTAAAATGAAATATTCTGTGTTATTAATTTTTCATCGTATACTCACCTACGTTATCTTGTCCGCCCTCAAAAATATTTAATTTCAAAACTTTTTCACATGAATAATAATTAGTGCTCAATTTCTGTAAATTCCTGACCAGCTTTAGTCTTAGATGGAACTAAAGTAACTTATATTAAATTTGGAGCAAATCCACTTCAACCAATTTTAAATTGTACGGAAAATTAAATAAAAGTGTTGATTGAACTTGATAAAAATAAAAAATGTAAATTTATGTTTCTGTTTTCTAAAGGCGGCAAAAAAGTCTAAAGAAACATAAGGTGTTGTTTGTGTCTGTTGTGTGTGTATCGCATGAGAGTAGTGTATTAGTGTGTAATGCATAATATTTTAATAAAATTGAGAATGGAAATTTAGCGAACGTTATGGATGTCTATATGTACGCGTGTAGGTATACATTATACCCAAGTGTTATAGCTATACGTAATACGTATATATTACGCTTATAGACATATAAACTACAGTCAACGGCAATGTATCGGTTACTTACGCTTAATAATTGAATTCTTTGCTAACTACAGAAGAGTGATAGACAGGAAGAAGGCGAACGGACAGCGGCTTCCGGATTCCCCGCAGGAGCCGTTGACCTTTTGACCGACTACATTATTATATGTTATTGAATTATAATCAATCATTATATAATATAAAACATATGATGAGTATAATATGTACTTGTTCATTGGCATCGATATCGGAGATCGATAGTTAAAATTAAATTCAATATATTAATTATTATTAAAATCAAACGCGTGGTATTGTGCTGTGTGCCTTGGCATAAATAGTAATTTATCATCGTTTATTTCAACGACCGCGATATGCTTCTTTTCCGCACCGAATATAATATGTATCAAAATACGTAACATAATAATTGGATAGTTGTTGATCAAAATAATAATAATTAGTTATTAGTTGATGTTCATTATAATTATATAAATAATAATTGATGTATTTCAGTATTACCCAAAGTATAAACTATGGTACTCGCATGTCGATGTCACCGATACTATTTCGATTTTTTAACGCTGAATCGTTTGAAAAAGGTGGAATTGAAAAGTCTTAAGCTATTAAGCTACCCTAGCTAAGTCACAAAAATTTTAAATTCAATGTTACTATACCTAAATATTATTTAATAATACGTCATTTAAAAAAAATATGTATATTTTGTATTGACAGTTTAATGATATAAATCATAGCTTAATAATTAATGATAAAATTATTATCGTTCCCCAATCCTGTTACACAAAATTTTGTTTTCGATATCGTTTATTTACTCTTCTTTTGGATTTATCATCAATTTGTCTAATGTCTATGTATTATATGATTGTATCCGTGTTGTTGTTTGTTTTTATATTAGTATGCGTAGGATGTTCTCAAACTTGCAGTTTATAACAATATTTGAATATAATGACGAGGATG